TGGTAATCCTCCGACTGAAGCTACAATAGGCTAAATCGATGACCTTGGTACAGGTCTATGCGCCCAATTTCGAGGGAGAGTATGAGACCTTCCCTGAGGAAGTGCAGTGTGCTCTGTCCAAAGTGCTAAATACAGAGTACCTCATACTGATGGGCGATTTTAATGCGCTGAAAAGTGGAACAACGTGATTGGGAAAAACGGCCCTAGCGACCTCAACAATAACAGCATGAAGTTGCTGCGCTTTTGTGCAAACAACGGATTGCCTGTTATGAACATCTTCTTCGAGCATCGAAAAGTGCATCAGTATACCTGGTACCGGGAAGCTTGTGCACAGAAGTCGAAGATCGATTTGATAATCGTATTGTCTGACCTAAGACGCTCAGTAATGGATGTTCGGGCTAAAAGAGGCGCAGAGCTATCAACCGATCGCCAATTTGTTGTTGGCACGCTACGCTGTAAGAAATGGAGTACCATACAAAGATCCAGTGGCAGAAGCAACCGGAGAATCAAATGGGAAACATTGTTTTCGGTGGACACGAAGGCGACGGTATGACAACATCCCGCTGATGTGGAAACCGAGTGAAACCTCTTTATAAGGACAAATTCCGAGTTGCCGACCAATGTTGGTGACTCAAACGGGTTGATCTCTCGCCTGGAGGGGAGGAAAGAACATCCTGGTGAAAAAGAGAAGCACAACTAACTGTATCCGAGAAAAAGGCCGCATTCAAGAGATGACATGGAAACAAGAAGCCTTCACCTCGAATGTGACATGTAGAAACAAGCAAGATAGCAGCAAAAGCAGTGGCGAAAGAGAACACGGATTCCTGGGAGAAGTTCAGTGAGGTGTTGGAGTCGAATTTCAAGACGGGAAAAAAGGTATTCTGGCAGATCATCCGCCGGTTCCGACGTGAAAGAAAGGACAGTCTAAGAGTCTTGAAGGAAAAATCTGTACAAGATCTTACCGAGAATGAGAACATTCATCGGCGATGGAGGGAGTACTTTGAGGAACTCCTTAACCCTGAGCAACCGCATGAAGACTCGCGTGTAGAGCAGAAGGGTACGGATATTACTATCTCTGTAGACAAAATTACACAAGCTGTGAAAAGCTTGAAAATGGAAAGACTGATTGAATTGATGAAATCCGCCCTGAAATGCTCAAGACGTTAGGCGAATAAGCATGTGATGGCTTGATGGCTTGTACGTGTCTGTCAAACTGCAATCGCTGCAGAGAGGATATCATATGACTGAAGAACGGACGTTGTAGTACCCCTACTCAAGAAGGGAGACTACTGGGAGTGCCTCAATCATTCGGGCACTGCTCACTGAGAATCTCGGTTAAAGTCTACGTATAAAGGTACTGGAAAGAAGCCACGGAATGATGGACTCAAAAATACAAAAAGAAAAGTATGGCTTCCCATCTGACCGAGGCAAATTTGAAAATATATTCGCCTTACGTGAGATTGTAAAGAAATAGTGGAACTTCACTCATCCGGTTAACATGTACCCAGTGGAAGCCTTTCACAGCATCCCGCGTAAGAGTCCATGAGCGTGCCTGCGAAGATATGGGATCGATGTGCAGTTGCTAGGGGCCATTCAGTCACCATATTCCTGTAACAGGTGCTACGTCAGAATAAATGGCGTTAAGTCGAAGCCTTTTAACAAATACACTGGTCTCGGCCAAGGCTACGTCCGGTCCCCTCTCCTGTTTGTATTGTATATGGACAGAATAGCCAAGAGAGGTCAA